AAAAAATCAAAAATTTCATACAATCAAATCAGATGAGATAAAATTTGATTAGAATATAAATGGATTTGATTTAAGCACTAAATCATTTTCTTTGATCCTTTGATATCTAATAACTATATAGAGTAAATTTTAATCAAATGCAAAGTAGGTATTTCTATTTAGGAATTATACTATAGAATATAAATAAGAACATTTAAATGCTAATTAGGGGAATTTTATATTGAACATACCTGTTAACTTTGTCAGTCTAAATAAGGTTTATATTCTGTTACTTATAATACTACAAAATGTTCAATATTTGATAGTAAAAAGTTTAAATCTATAACATCAAATTAAATTTAGCTTAATATGGGTTATTGGAGACCAAATTATTTATCTGATGAAATAGAATTTTGCTTTAAAATACAAGAATCTTGTTTAGGAGGATGGATTGTTGGTGATTCTCTATGCATTTAAGGTCATATTGGAGGATTATGTGAGGAATGTGATAAATTCAATGTTAGGGGGAATGGGATGTTTTTTAAGAATCAATACAATTCACTTTGTTATTAATGTGGAGATGAATCTAATCATTTTCAATTTTTTATTTTGGCTTCTCTATGGTATTAAAATATTTAAATATTTAGGGTTATTTTTTCAACTCTATTCACATTAAATAGTATTGATAAATCAAATAGACTATTTTCAATTTTGAAAGTTAGATAAAGATTTGCAAGAATCATTTTTAAATTAAGTTAAAGTAAATTATATTTTAATCTTTAGATCATGCAAGTATTTTACTAAAACTATATCTCAACTATATATGGATATTTTCAGTAATTTTTTCATTCAATCTTAAATTTTCTTTTTCATTTGGCTTTATTGATTAAACAAGCAATCCATCGTTTTTTATAGCTAATAGTTTGGATTGTTATTTATCTGAGTTTTAAGAAATTCAATTGATCTACTTGAGAATTATTACTATGTTTCTATCCTTGGCCTGTTTATTTTTTGCCATATTTATTGGATTTAAACTTTATTCTTTAATTAAACATAAAAAATTTTAAACTAGTATTTTATCAATAACAGCACTTTATTTGTTTGTTACTAATTATCCTGCTTTTATTAAACAGTAAATTTATTATTTATAATAGATTTTTCTCTTTACTGGCTAAGAGATAAATTTCAAAAATAAATTATATTTAAGGTGATGTTTCATTACTATATGGAACTTAAACTCATGTTAATTGGATTATAAGCTTTATACTTCCAGGATTAGCATTAATAGGTATTGTATTACCTTTTTCTCTTTTATTGTTACTGTACATTAAAAGAAATTAATTAGAAAAAATTAATCTAAGAAAACATATATGTTATTTATTTAATGAATAT